ACTTCTCTACGAAAAACTAGTTTACAGTCAGAACAACTTTTTTATCAAAAACTTGTTCAGATTTTGGACAAATTTTTCGAATTCTTAACAACTTTCCATCAAAAATTTGTCCACATTCAAAACAACTTTTCAATCATAAAACTGTTTCGAGTCTCAACAACTTTTCAATCAAAAACTTGTTCAGAGTCTGAACAACTTTTCCATCAAGAACTTGTTCAAAGTCAGAACAACTTTTCTATCAAAAACTTTTTCAGACTATGAACAACTTCTCTATGGAAAAATTCTTCACAGTCAGAACAACTTTTCTATCGAAAACTTGTTCACATTCAGAACAACTTTTGAATCATAAAACTGTTCAGAGTCTCAACAACTTTTCAATCATAAACTTGTTCAGAGTCTGAACAACTTTTCCATCAAAAACTTGTTCAAATACAGAATAACTTCTGTATCAGAAACCTGTTCAGAGTCTGAACAACTTTTCCATTAAAAGCTTGTTCAGAGTCTGAACAAGGTTTCTGACAAATATTTGTTCAGAGTCGGAACAACTTGTCTATCAAAAACTTGATCAGAGTCTAAACAACGTTTCTTAAAAAACAAACCACTTTTCTATTAAAAATTTGAAAAAATTTTCTCAAAAATCTTCTTCAGACCTTTCCATAAGAAAGTTGTTCAGAAACTGAACAACTTTTCTATCAAGAACTTGTTCAGCATTTCAACAACTTTTCAATCAAACATTTTTCGAATTCTTAACAACTTTCCATCAAAAACCTGTTCACATTCAAAACAACTTTTCCATCAAAAACCTGTTCACATTCAAAACAACTTTTCCATCAAAAACTTGTTCAGAGTCTCAACAACTTTTCCATTAAAAACTTGTTCAGAGTCTGAACAACTTTTGTATTGAAAACTTGTTCAGAATCTGAACAACATTTCTAACAAAAGCTTGTCCATAATCTAAACAACTTTTCTATCGAATAATTGTTCAGAGTCTGAAACAATTTTCTATAAACAACTTGTTCAGAATCTGAAAAATATTTAAAAATGTGTTTAGAGTCTAAATATGTAGCCTACTTCAGGGCTAAAATAATATTTTGCAAATATTTCATTACTAGTCCTGTACAACTTTTTTACTAAAAATTCGTCCAGAGTCTGAACGACTTTTCTACCAAAAACTTGTACAGAGTCTGAACAACTTTTCTACCAAAAACCTGTTCTTCTTCTGATCAACGTTCATGTTTAAAAACTTGCTCAGAGTCTGAATAAATCTTCTTTCAGAAGCTTCTTTAATTTATTAAAATATATAGCCTACTTCAAGGCAAAAACAATATTTTGCAAATATTTTATTACTAATCCAGTAATAAAGTATTTTCTTAACCTTTTTATAACCTTTTTTCAAAGCAAGAAATCCCCTCCTAAAAACCATTGCATACTTTTCGGAGTTGTTTATTAAAAATAACACTATTTTATGTTTAAAGGATTTTGTGGGATTTTTAAACAAACACATAAAACATTTTCATTTCATGTTCTGTTTATTTTGGGGGTTTTTTATTTACTTTCGCTCTCTCTCACTTTAAGTTTAAGAATCTATAATGTGAAAAGATCACGATTTCTTAATGCCATTATTTACTAACAACCAACTAAACACACACTTTTATACTCAAGTTATAGGAACAACAAAATTCCCATAAACATGTTTGTTACAACATTGCATAACACTATATATAATAATTTATACTGCAAATACTTTTGCTATATAATCCACATACTAAAAAGGCTGCGACATTATTTTTTTATTATATGTAGTATATTTTCAGGCGAGTGAGGGCTTATTAAGGGTAAAGAAATAAAACACCAACTGTTTTGTTTTTGTGGGTTTTATTTTGCTGATAATGGCCGCCAAGGAATTTCAATGCCATTTTTGTAACAAAAGCAAACAAACAAACAGAAAATTCGAAGAAAACAAAATCCTTTTATAATATTTCTTTTAAGGTTTTCCTTTTATTTTCCTTATAAACAAACATGTATTTATATAGCTTTTAGTTTATTTAAATTTCTTTTTTTACAAAATTTTATATTTCGAGTTTTTTTTCTCGTAAGGAAACCGTTTTCAAACGGAAACGGGAAATGCAAGTCGTTTTTCTTTATGTTACTTTATATTTTGTAAAGCATATTTTATGGCGTCACCAGACATTGTTATAAATGTCTCTTGCTTAGCATTTATGATGATACAACAGGCATATACAGCATGTTAATAATAAACAAAATAATAATGATGTTGTTATTGCTGAAGATTATTATGTTGTATGTATATGTAGTCGTTTATAAGCTTTAACCAACCAACAGTAAGAAGGTTCACTTTTTCATACACCAGACACTTATTACTTAAGGATCCTTTTACTTTTTGTTTCACTTTTTCATATTTATACATATACGGATATTGTGCATTTAGTGTTTACTTTAAAAACCACTTTATTTCTTTCATAACTGTGTGTTAAAATATTTCATAGCATATGTTAAGGTGCAAAGACATTTTGCTTTTGCTCTTTTTTGTTTTAAGCTTATCTTTTTTCTAGTGTTTAGATTTATAAGAGTGTGTTTTATATATTTTCATATTTTCGCGCACATTTTAGCACATTATTAACACTTGCGGCATAAAGATAAGTTGACAATAATTCATATTTTAAAGCATAATTTTAGGTGTTATTAATTAAGGGCTTTTCCTGGAAACTTTTAGGAGTGTAACAAAATATGTTTAATGTTTGTTTTAATATTAAGAATGTTTTAAATTATGAAGTCTTGTAATTTGGCAACAGAATCTGAGTAGTTCTTCTGACAAGAACTTGCTCAGAGTCTATGCAACTATTGTAATAAAAACTTTCTCAGATTATGGAAAATATTTCTAATAAAACTTCAAAGTCTGGTCAACTGTTCCCACAAAATCTCTAGACAACTTCTCATTAAACTTGTTCAGTATCTGAACGCTTTGCTTGACTCAAAGACACTTTTCTAATATAAATTTTCTCAGATTCTAAGAAACTTTTCTAACAAAAACTAGCTCAAAGACGGGTCAACCTTTCTAAAAAGAACTTGGCCAGAGTCTAAACTAATTTCCTAGCAAAAAGTTGTTCAGCATCCGAATCACTATTCTACTTCAAAGTTGCTCAGAGACTGAAACACTTTTATAATAAAAAGTACTCAGAGTTATAACTTTTTTTATATTAAAGAACTGCTGAGAGTCAGAGCGAATTTTCTGGTAAAAAGTTGCTCAGAGACCGAACCACTTTTCTGGTATAAAGTTATTCCGAGTTTGAACAACATTTCTCGAAAAAATGTTTTTCAGAGTCTGAACTACTTTTCTGGTAGAAAGTTACTTCGAGTTTGAACAACTTTTCTAGTAAAAAGTTGCTCAGAGTCTGAACAACTTTTCTGGTATAAAGTTACTTTGAGTTTGAACAACTTTTCTAGTAAAAAGTTGCTCAGAGTTCGAATGACTTTTCTAGTAAAAAGTTGCTCAGAGTCTGGACAACTTTTCGAGTATAAAATTACATCGAGTTTGAACAACTTTTCTAGTAAAAAGTGCTAAGAGTCTGAACAACTTTGCTAGTAAAAAGTTGCTCAGAATCTGAACAACTTTGCTAGTCTGAACAACTTTTCTAGTAAAAAGTTGCTCAGAGTCTGAACAATTTTTTTGGTAAATAGTAGCTTAGTCTGAGCGATCTTTCTAGTGAAAAGTTGCTCAGAGTCTAAACGACTTTTCTAGTAAAATGTTGCTCGGAGTCTGAATAACTTTTCTGGTAAAAAGTTGCTGAGAATGTGATCGTATTTTATGATAGAAAGTTCCTAAGAATCTGAATATCTTTTCAAGCAAAATCATGTTCTTAATCTGAACAAATTTTCTAGTAAAAAGTTACTTAGAGTCTGAGCTACTTTTCTACGACTTTTCTAGCAAAATGTTCCTCAGGGTCTGAACGACTTTTCAGGTAAGAAGTTGCTCGGAGTCTGAACAACTTTTCTAGTAAAATGTTCCTCAAGGCCTAAGCAACTTTTCTAGTAAAAAGTTCCACAGGGTCTGAACAAATTTTGGTAAAAAATTGCTCAGAATCAGAACACATTTTCCTATAAAATGTTGGTCATAGTTTGATCAAATTTTCTCTTCTAGTTTCTCAAAATCTGATGAGCATGTCTCACACACTTTTAACTTCCATTCTTTTAGTTTTTATTGTCAAAATTTTATATTTAAAACTCCAACTGTGTCTGCCATTTCTCAACTTAGACTTTAGCAAAACAAAAACACAAATTCAATTAATTTCAATTACAAAACTGTCAAATGCAGTTTGATTTGTTTAATTTCCTTTGACAAACCACACTTCTAACAAACTCAAACTTTTGCTAAACTTTCTTTCATATTTCTACAAAATTTGTTTATTTATTATTATCTATTTCCAAAAAATTTATGCAAAATTTTAATTAGTTAGACATAAATGTATGCTTTAAATAAATCTTTATAAAAACTGCCCAAAACTATACTTTATTATTTAATTTTAAACCACAATATATTTAAAATTTCAACAAAACAATTTTATATTTAGCACATAATTTATATAAATAAATTTCCTTTTTGCAAATGTATTTAATAAAATTTTTAAATTATTTAAAGCCTTAATATAGGCTATGATTTTTTTTTAATAATTTTAAATTCCATTTCCTTTATTATCTTTATTTTATAATAATAACTTTATATGAGATTTTTGGCCTTTGATTGTGTAATAATCTTTATTTATTTTTGTTAAAAAGTAAACAAAAAACATTTTAATGCACTTTGTTTGTTTATATGCCTAAAGGTATGTAGTGTTTTAAACATAAATCACTTTTTTTTTGTCCAACAAAAAGACATTTGTAGACAGAATTTTAAATGTATTTTATAAATCCACAGAATCCTTAAGGGTCAATTTAAATTATGAAAACTTTTAAACTAAATTTATTTATAAAACAACACTCACTAGATTATCAAATTGCCTTAAAATAGGCTTTACTTTTAATACATTATTATTATTATTTTACACTAGATTTTAATCTGTAATATTAATTTATGGTTTTCCTTTCAATTTACAATTAATTATTTGTTTTAATATAAATTTCACTTTTTTTATAATTTCTTTTTTCAAAAATTTTCTTTTTTTTTCAAAAATTACGCGCTCGTTTGTTTTTATTTCCTTCTGTTTACTTTGCTTTTTATTTTTCGTTTTATTTTATAAAAATTTTTTAAAAATTTCTCTTTAGCGTTTCGTTACGTGTTTAATCCTTCAAAGACAACCGGCAACTGAAAGGTCCTTTCTAATATTCAAACAAAAATTGTTTAACTTTTCTATAAACTTCTCAAAAAAGGATATTTTCTCTTGTCCTTTACTCTCTCTCTTACACACCCCCTGCTTGTTTTTCACATTTCCAATAGGAATTTACTGTTTTACTACCAAATCCTCTCTGTTATTGTTTCTCCTTACAAATACAAAACATACACACACACACACACTCTCACATAAAGAAAATCTTGTTGACCTTAGCCTTCGTTTCCCTCAAGAGAAGAGTTCGTTAAACTTATTTTCTTTAGGGGTGGCAAGTTAGTACACACAAGGCAAACAGGATATTTCCGTTATTCATCAAAAAACAACACATGCTTTGACTAACAGGTTGCTTTTTAATTTTATGACGTCACTGTAAAAATTGCCTTTTTTAACAAAGTAATAAGTCATTCCAATAAGTAGGGGAGTAAGGAAAAGGACATTTTAAGGAAATTTTGGGGAAATTTATGAGATACTGAACAGAGGGATAAATTTTTGTATTGCGATTCCCTTTTACACATTTAACTGAAAATATGTGTATGTTTTGTTACTAAAGGATGTTATTTGTTTGATTTGACAAATCATGTTAATGAATAATATGTACAAGAAGGGGAAATTTCCCTTAGGATTTTTATAGGGGATATAAATGACTCAAGCAACCATCGGAATTGCTTTAAATAGAAGGAAATTCTAAAATGTTTGCACATACGATCCGAATTTAAACTTAATCTAAACTAAAACTGAACTAGAACTGAACTAGAACTGAACTAGAACTGAACTAGAACTGAACTAGAACTGAACTAGAACTGAACTAGAACTGAACTAGAACTGAACTAGAACTGAACTAGAACTGAACTAGAACTGAACTAGAACTGAACTAGAACTGAAACTAGAACTGAACTAGAACTGAACTAGAACTGAACTAGAACTGAACTAGAACTGAACTAGAACTGAACTAGAACTGAACTAGAACTGAACTAGAACTGAACTAGAACTGAACTAGAACTGAACTAGAACTGAACTAGAACTGAACTAGAACTGAACTAGAACTGAACTAGAACTGAACTAGAACTGAACTAGAACTGAACTAGAATGAACTAGAACTGAACTAGAACTGAACTAGAACTGAACTAGAACTGAACTAGAACTGAACTAGAACTGAACTAGAACTGAACTAGAACTGAACTAGAACTGAACTAGAACTGAACTAGAACTGAACTAGAACTGAACTAGAACTGAACTAGAACTGAACTAGAACTGAACTAGAACTGAACTAGAACTGAACTAGAACTGAACTAGAACTGAACTAGAACTGAACTAGAACTGAACTAGAACTGAACTAGAACTGAACTAGAACTGAACTAGAACTGAACTAGAACTGAACTAGAACTGAACTAGAACTGAACTAGAACTGAACTAGAACTGAACTAGAACTGAACTAGAACTGAACTAGAAACTGAACTAGAACTGAACTAGAACTGAACTAGAACTGAACTAGAACTGAACTAGAACTGAACTAGAACTGAACTACTGAACTAGAACTGAACTAGAACTGAACTAGAACTGAACTAGAACTGAACTAGAACTGAACTATAACTGAACTAGAACTGAACTAGAACTGAACTAGAACTGAACTAGAACTGAACTAGAACTGAACTAGAACTGAACTAGACTGAACTAGAACTGAACTAGAACTGAACTAGAACTGAACTAGAACTGAACTAGAACTGAACTAGATCTGAACTAGAACTGAACTAGAACTTAACTAGAACTGAACTAGAACTGAACTAGCACTGAACTAGAACTGATCTAGAACTGAACTAGAACTGAACTAGAACTGAACTAGTACTGAACTAGAACTGAACTAGAACTAGAACTAGAACTAGAACTGAACTAGAACTAGAACTGAACTAGAACTGAACTAGAACTAGAACTACTAGAACTGAACTAGAACTGAACTAGAACTGAACTAGAACTGAACTAGAACTGAACTAGAACTGAACTAGACTGAACTAGAACTGAACTAGAACTGAACTAGAACTGAACTAGACTGAACTAGAACTGAACTAGAACTGAACTAGAACTGAACTAGAACTGAACTAGAACTGAACTAGAACTGAACTAGAACGAACTAGAACTGAACTAGAACAGAACTAGAACTGAACTAGAACTGAACTAGAACTGAACTAGAACTGAACTAGAACTGAACTAGAACTGAACTAGAACTGAACTAGAACTGAACTAGAACTGAACTAGAACTGAACTAGAACTGAACTAGAACTGAACTAGAACTGAACTAGAACTGAACTAGAACTGAACTAGAACTGAACTAGAACTGAACTAGAACTGAACTAGAACTGAACTAGAACTGAACTAGAACTGAACTAGAACTGAACTAGAACTGAACTAGAACTGAACTAGAACTGAACTAGAACTGAACTAGAACTGAACTAGAACTGAACTAGAACTGAACTAGAACTGAACTAGAACTGAACTAGAACTGAACTAGAACTGAACTAGAACTGAACTAGAACTGAACTGAACTAGAACTGAACTAGAACTGAACTAGAACTGAACTAGAACTAACTGAACTAGAACTGAACTAGAACTGAACTAGAACTGAACTAGAACTGACTAGAACTAGAACTGAACTAGAACAGAACTAGAACAGAACTAGAACAGAACTAGAACAGAACTAGAACAGAACTTGAACAGAACTTGAACAGAACTTGAACAGAACTTGAACAGAACTAGAACAGAACTAGAACAGAACTAGAACAGAACTAGAACAGAACTAGAACAGAACTAGAACAGAACTAGAACAGAACTAGAACAGAACTGAACTAGAACTGAACTAGAACTGAACTAGAACTGAACTAGAACTGAACTAGAACTGAACTAGAACTGAACTAGAACTGAACTAGAACTGAACTAGAACTGAACTAGAACTGAACTAGAACTGAACTAGAACTGAACTAGAACTGAACTAGAACTGAACTAGATCTGAACTAGAACTGAACTAGAACTGAACTAGAACTGAACTAGAACTGAACTAGAACTGAACTAGATCTGAACTAGAACTGAACTAGAACTGAACTAGAACTGAACTAGAACTGAACTAGCACTGAACTAGAACTGATCTAGAACTGAACTAGAACTGAACTAGAACTGAACTAGAACTGAACTAGAACTGAACTAGAACTGAACTAGAACTGAACTAGAACTGAACTAGAACTGAACTAGAACTGAACTAGAACTGAACTAGAACTGAACTAGAACTGAAGTAGAACTGAACTAGAACTGAACTAGAACTGAACTAGAACTGAACTAGAACTGAACTAGAACTGAACTAGAACTGAACTAGAACTGAACTAGAACTGAACTAGAACTGAACTAGAACTGAACTAGAACTGAACTAGAACTGAACTAGAACTGAACTAGAACTGAACTAGAACTGAACTAGAACAGAACTAGAATAGAACTAGAACTGAACTAGAACAGAACTAGAACAGAACTAGAACAGAACTAGAACAGAACTAGAACAGAACTTGAACAGAACTTGAACAGAACTTGAACAGAACTTGAACAGAACTTGAACAGAACTTGAACAGAACTAGAACAGAACTAGAACAGAACAGAACTAGAACAGAACTAGAACAGAACTAGAACAGAACTAGAACAGAACTAGAACAGAACAAAACTAGAACAGAACCAGAACTAGAACAGAACTAGAACAGAACTAGAACAGAACTAGAACAGAACTAGAACAGAACTAGAACAGAACTAGAACAGAACTAGAACAGAAACTAGAACAGAACTAGAACAGAACTAGAACAGAACTAGAGAGAACTAGAACGAACTAGAACAGAACTAGAACAGAACTAGAACAGAACTAGAAACAAACTAGAACAGAACTAGAACAGAACTAGAACAGAACTAGAACAGAACTAGAACAGAACTAGAACAGAACTAGAACAGAACTAGAACAGAACTAGAACAGAACTAGAACAGAACTAGAACAGAACTAGAACAGAACTAGAACAGAACAGAACTAGAACAGAACTAGAACAGAACTAGAACAGAACTAGAACAGAACTAGAACAGAACTAGAACAGAACTAGAACAGAACTAGAACTAGAACTAAACAGATAACTAGAACTAACAGAACTAGAACAGAACTAGAACAGACATCTAGAACAGAACTAGAACAGCAACTCGAACAAACTAGAACAGAACTAGAACAGAACTAGAACAGCAACTAGAACAGAACTAGAACAGAACTAGAACTAGAACCTAGAACAGAACTAGAACAGAACTAGAACAGAACTAGAACAGAACTAGAACAGAACTAGAACCAGAACTCGAACAGAACTAGAACAGAACTCTAGAACAGAACTAGAACAGAACTAGAACAGAATAGAAAAGAAACTAGACCAGAACTAGAACAGAACTAGAACAGAATAGAACCGAACTGCGAACACGAACTAGAAACAGAACTAGAACAGAACTAGAACAGAAACTAGAGCAGAACTGGAACAGAACTAGAACAGAACTAGAACAGAACTAAACAGAACTTGAAGCAGAAACTATGAACAACTAGAAATAGAACGAACTAGAACCGAACCTCGAACCGAACTAGAACAGTGAACTAGAACCGAACTAGAACAGAACTAGAACAGAACTAGAACAGAACTAGAACAGAACTAACAGAACTAGAACAGAACTAGAACAGAACTATAACGAACTAGAACAGAACTCGAACAGGAACTAGAACAGAACTAGAACAGAACTAGAACAGAACTAGAACAGAACTAGAACAGAACTAGAACAGAACTAGAACAGAACTAGAACAGAACTAGAACAGAACTAGAACAGAACTAGAACAGAACTAGAACAGAACTAGAACAGAACTAGAACAGAACTAGAACAGAACTAGAACAGAACTAGAACAGAACTAGAACAAACTAGAACAGAACTAGAACA